GATATGTATCGGATTCAGTACCACATGCGAAAGTGACCCAGATCGGATTTGAAATTATCGGATTTGCGTCGTTCACACTGTCATACCATGATCGGATATGGGTCGCATAGGGTCAAAAAAAATCGGATTTGATGCGCTTTCGCCTGCAGTGTGAATGTAGCCTTAGACAGGCTTAGAGACCAGCCAGCAGCAGCCAGGTAACCGCTGCTTGTTATGGAAAAAATCCCCAAGAAAGTGAGTTTGATGTCTGTTGCTGTGCGTTGCCCAAGTCACTAGAGAAAAAACTGTATTCTCTAACTGGTTAGTCGGGGGTTGCAGAAGGTTGCTGGCCATAAAGAGGCATGCAGTCCTGCACCAAAAACCTTCTTGTGATTGGTCACTAGAAGTTTGCCACGATCACCTGTACCACCCTGCCATGGGAGGTGCCCACTCCCAAACACTCGCCTGCTTTCAGTTTCTGGCACTTTTTCCAGTTAATGAATACACATCCTTTTCTTTCCTGGTGACCAGAGGTTGCTGAGGGCATCGCTGACCTGTGTGACTCAGGCTGTAGGTTTTTTTGGGTTTCAGAAATATGCAGCTCTGTAGTTTGAAGGTTGTAGAGTCAACATTGTAGATACTGTAGAGAGTCACATGACCTAACAAGCTGAAATGACAGTCGGGCTGAAGAACAGCACTTTGGGGTTTTGTTGTAATGCTTTTACAATTTATATCTTTTTTAAATAATTAATTACAAACAAACTTGGAGAAAATAATTAAAAATAATTATAATAATTGACTAACTATACGTGGCATTTACTTTGTATCTTAAAAATGTAAAAAAAAACAGTCCAATACAATCCTGTTAACGAAACCTTAGAAGTACAATGGAACTAAATAAATGAAATAAATCCATATAACACTTGTCAGTGAAGCTACGCAGAGATCAATGCCCATAAACTGATTTCCAGTGAAATCTGACACAACAGCCGGTAGCATTTGGTGACAGGTCACTGATTAAAGCTTCTTCTCCCACAGATGGTCTCATTTGGAAAGTTGTAAGTAGGGTGTGAAATGTCTTGTTGGTATGTTAAACAGCAGAAGCACAGTCATTTTAAGAGATGACAGGAAGCAACACTGTGCAGTCTCGTGAAGACGT